CAAAGTCCACTTGAAATTAACAGAGAAAAACAATTTTGTTTATCATTTGGTCATTGGAAATTTAGTTTGAAAAGCTTCACTTGGAAAAGCTTCATTTTTTCGATTGTTTGTATCTCAGAAACTGTTAGCGTCTCAGCGTTTTCATTCAGAAGTTAACTCTAAATTATTCACAGAAACTGTCAGTTTAATAACAGTTTCATAACGATATAAGTTAAAGTCACAAAAATTGGGATTTTTTATATACCAGTGGCAAAAGCGCATAATTTGATCAAAAAGAACTATTATACGCTCGTGTTGTCATACAAAGAGAACGCAATGATATCTTATGCCGTATAAAAAAAGTTAATTACAAATTATAATTATTCATAAAAGGATTTAAAATTGCTTTTTAATTCGCTTTATTAGTGCGAACCGTATAATTTCGCGAGACAAATTGATATTGCTGAGGAATTTAATAGAAATCACTTACGCACGCTTTAGTTGCGTTGTGTGTTCCATATAGAAAAGAAGAAGCTTCGGAAATCTCCTCCGACCTTCTTTCCAAAATGTTTTAATTCAGTTCGATTGCTTAATCAGTTATGAACCGCGGCGCCGGTGGCGAGTGAGTCCTTTAATTAACAAAGCTATCTCTCGAATTATATGTCCGCTATCAAGCATGTATATAAATCTCTATTAAATCATGCGGAATGTTATTGAGAATAATCACGATGAGGGATTGCGTTATTGGATCTCTTCCACGTGGGTAATTCGAGTAAATTCGTTGCGGACCGATTGGAAAATTTACGGGACGGAAACTTGCAGTGTCAACCATATTAGCTTAAAAATTACAGAATTGTTATATGCGTCGTATAAACGTACATTCACCCGCCGCAGAGCGTGCGGTATTTAATTTTGCAAGCTGCTTCGCGACACGAACGACTTGTGCGACACAAGCTGTGCAAATATTTTTCCATTTGAATTTTATATTTTTTCGTTGCGCGAAAAACAGTCGCTGTTGCCGCTATCAGCTTCGTTATTAATCACACTTTACAAGGGGTAGACCGATCGGTAAAGCTCGGATGCTAATTGAAGGGAGCGAAAGCTCGCGGGCGAGAGGAAATTCTGCCAAGAAAGTTTGAGCGCAAACTTGCCTCGAGCAAAAGGAAAAATCTTGCTGTTAATTTTTTTCTTAACAAGCTCCCTCATTCAAACCGAGGAAAATCGCAACGTTTATTCTGATTTCTTTCGGAGAGCACGCATACATTGATCTCCGCTGACATACATGCACGAGCGCAATGATAACCTGTCCTAAAGAAAAAGAAAAAACAAACGAGAAAGGAAATGAATGAGAAAAATGCAAAATATCAAATTTCAAGCCCGACACGATGTAAAAACGATGAAACTTTGCGTCGCCCACGGCGGCATCGCGCAAAGCGACGTGGTTATGGACGCCGGACAGATTAACTTCTCAATGGAGCGACGAAGGTACCCGACAATCCCGCGGGAACGAGATACGAAACGGGCGATAAAACGCGGAATCGCCGAATTCGGAAAATCGAGCCAGCTGTCCGACGGACAGCAGCTGGCACAAGCTTCAACGGCCGCAGTAGCGGCGGCGGAGGCGGAAGCGGCAGAGCGGCGGTTCATCCAAACGATCTCTCCTGGGTCCGGGGTTATTTTTTCAAACGGCTGCTATCAGACAAACGGACGAGCGAGCTTTGCGACTCCGCGCGCGCGTGCACACACGGCCGGCCCGGAACCCGTCCTTTACGTTTCCCTGGCGATTCAATTTAACCGCGACCAGGCGAACGGCCGAGCCGGCGGGGAGCGCCGACGAGTTGTCGAAGTAGATTGGATCTTATTGAATCCAGAACTGTCCTGCCGGAAGGATGGCGCGTTCTCTCTACACTTGATGGAGACGAGCTTGTGCCGTCCCGTATAAAAACAGCGCGTTCACGTCGCTTACCCGGTATTGGATTGTGACGCCGACGGCGGCAGCAACGGGTTGCACGGACGACGGCGCGACATCCTCGAGAGTCAACACCTGCGCTGGCACCCCGACAGAACGAGGGACAACGAGGCCGCTCCAAAGTGGTTCGCGAAAAAGTTGGCGCGACCGTATTACAAAGAAAATAGAGAGAGAGAGAGAGAGAGAGAGAGAGAAAAAGTCCCATTTGATTGCCGGCGATCGAACGGTCCTATGTTGTTCGCCGCGGATCAGTGCGCCGTCGTTCTCTTCTCGGCGACAGCAGATCCAGCGAGGAACGCGCAGAGAACGCGAGATCGAAAGATTCGAAATGGAGTGAACCACCACTATCGCCGTCGTCGTCGCCGCCACTGCTATCATCACCCCCGCCCGTCAATGGTCTCCGTAAAGTGCGGTTTACACGATGCTTTCTTTCGTCGGCGAATAACACACTCGTCCGGGAACATTCACGCGGTGCAAGTCCGGTAAAAATATCGAACTAGCGAAAGTATCGGATTGAAGCAATTGTATTCTCACTTCAACCAAAATACTTAAAGTTATACAAGAATTCAACATAATGTTTGTCAGTAAAGCATATTCGTAACTAGTTTCATACAATTTATCTGCATCGTTCATGAGAAATTTAGTACTAAATATCGTAGTTTTGCATATATGGTAAAAGCGATATAGATGACTATTATTCCAGTATAACTTCGTAAAAAATAATACTACCCTCTATCCAAATAAAAGAATTTGCCGTTACAAATATTATATATTAGGAAACGCGACATAAAAGAAAAAATAGTATCCATTAGATCGTTTTTAAGAGATGATCGATTGTAGGCTAGGAAACTGCCGTTTTATGCTTTAAGTAGCATTGTACTGAGTGAAATGTGACAAGATAGTATCATGAAATTAGTTTTAAATTAACATTTATTATGTAGATAGAGAAATATTAATGCACATATTATTTGAATAATTCCCCTCCTTGCGCTACTAAAAATACGCTCCTTTTGGGCGTTTTGAAAATACACACCTAGTGAATAAACTACTTAAGGGTAAATTTTTTACTACACCTCCGAAAAGGTCTATCCTCCAATTCTCATTCCATGAAATATATATTCCCAAATAAATGTATCTAAAAGGTTCGTTAAAATAAGTTTTTGGAAATAACTGTATTCATTATTTTACACGTTATTTCAGTTAATTTTTAATTGCATCAAAAAGCTCTTTAGACATGTTCATTTGGGAGTATTTGGGCCGAAATTTATAAGAATCGAAAAGTAGATATTTTCGGAACTACATATTCAAATTTCCTAAAATACTTCCTCTTATCGGGGCATCGTGAAAATTGATAAAACAAAACGTATCGTGGAATAATCGTTTAACACCGAGACGCTTACCGATGCGATTTTGATTATTAGTTAAAACGTCGGGGGAATTATAGACAGATAATTCATTAAAGCGTAATTTTTAATCAAACTTCGAACGAAACTGTTCGTCAAAAGATAAAAGCATAACTGCGAGCTGCAGGTCATTTTTTATGTAGAAACCAAAGTAGAGTGCCGCGTCTCACAAAGTGAAGATACCTCGGCTTTATCGCCGCGAGTCAGTTTACGGCATCCTAAGACGCGAGATGCTTCTTTAATGACCACTAGCCCAGTGTTTTCCGAAATATTCTTAGACTACATAAAGTTCATCAGCTTCTGTGAAACTCGCGAGCGCATTAAGAAAAGGAAGATAAAAAGAAACGAAAGAATAGAACGCAGATGCACGCTACTTTTACACAGAATGTCACATTCTATTCGACCGCGAACCGCAATGTTTTTTGATTTACGCGTTGTTAAACTTTGTTCTCCACAAGCTGACTCATTCGTTCGCCGTTCTTCCTCTTCTTCCTCTTGTTTATTTACGTGACGCGCCGCACCACATCCCCGTGGTGAAGCGCATATTTAACGGTCGCGCAATTTTTCATCAAATTCCGAGGGATTCCACGGTCAAATTAAATCGGGCAACACCGACACGAGCACGCCGCTCGCTAACGGAAAAAAGTATCGTGTGAGCTACGCTTAAACCGCCGACACGGAAGCCCCGCAATTCATTCGGTTAATTCGCGCGAGTGATCCAATAATATTTCCTACGAGGATGTTTTCCAGAAGGGGAAATCGGACGCCAGCGTATCTTCCCCCGGATATTGGAAGATTCTGGAAGTCGACTAACAATGAAAAGGATGCTTTCTACGGTGAAAAAAGTTACGACAGTTGCGCGGCCGTCGAGGTTGCAGTGTAGTTTATTAACATGCACAAAAACACACATGCACAACTAGCGCTCACGCTCGTGTTGACGTGCGTATGATTAAAAAATCCGAGTGAGAGCGAACGAAGCAGGTGTCGAGATAGGCGACGTTATGAAAACGCAAGAGAGATTTCGCGTTTAATCAAAGAGAAAGAGAGAGAGAGAGAGAGAGAGAGAGAGAGAGAGAGAAGCGCAGCGAGATCATACCGATGTGTAATCGTTTCCACAAACTATTAATATAATTAAGTTATAGGATAAAACAATGGAGTTAAATATAATTGAATGAATTGTTAGTTATTGATAAATATAATCATCGAATATTACATGAAATACTGGCGACATAAATAATATTTTTAATTAACGGAACATCATATAAATGGAAATAGTTACTTAATGGAATTAAAAGTTATTTAGCAGAAAAAACGATTACTTCGATACACTCGTGTTTATTTACATCGATTTTGAGTGGTGTATTTTTAAATGTAGCCAACACGTTTCTGGACGTGTTTCACGTGAGTATCTCGAGAATCAACAATAAATGTAAGGTTTTTCTGCCGTTAAAGTGACAGAGAAAAAGAAAGAGAGAGAAAGGAATTAATTTGCCCAATTATCTCTCTCAAAACGTTATTCAGTCGTAGGTGCGTCTACCTTATTAATACCGAGAGTGTACCATTCATCTCGGGTTCAGCGAAGGATATAGCGCGCTAAAGTCAACGTACATACGGTACATACACATATATATGTATATTGGGTGGCTCACCGAAAATGGCATTCCCGCGATGCGTCGCCAGTCCGCCCAGGGTTAACACGTGCGAGTGATCCGCCGTTACCACGAGAAGCGTTTCCGAGAGATCGACCTCCTTCATAACTGCCCGAACAGCTTCCTCCAGCGCCAGGGTCTCATCTAGCGCGCGATAAGCGTTGTTGTAATGGTGAGCGTGGTCGATTCTTCCGCCTGAAGTGAAACGCCAACAGATCTCGCTCGTGAGGTGCTCATGAATGTCATTTATTAAAGTTATCTTCGACTACTTCGTAAGACGACGCAGTATCGCGGTTGCACGGTGACTGTTTTAAGACCTCCACAGCTTACGGGTGCTCCGTCGCTTTTAATAAGTATCTCACACACGTCTCCATCGCGCGTCGCGTCAAACTTATTAAAATATCGCCCCGCATCCCCCGCGTGTGCGAGTTACTCTTTCGAGCGCGTTCAAATTTTCATTTAAACATCCACTATCTCGTGTGCAAGGGATGAAATAACGTTCCCTGTATCTTCCCACGTTTTACTTTTTGCCAAATCGGGTAACTGAATTAAATTAATTTAATTAAAATACTGACACACTAATTTCGACCACGTTCTCTTTTCATTTTTCTTCGTTTATCGAATGTAAGCACCCGCATCGTTACAGCTAGGTTTCGTCGATGTTGCGCTGGTATCGTGGCAGGAAAAAAGTGCAGCTGTAATTTCATTTCTGATCGATATCGGGAATATTCCGCTATCGCGTAAAGAAGCGACTGCTTCTATATCGGAATTATGTCTCACTTGTGTCCGCGCTTTCACGCTTGTATAATGTTTGTCATTTGAAAGTTTCGTTAATGGTACTGAATTGGATTTTAATCAGCGATGTCAATCACCAGCGAGATGTTGCTCGTTGCACGCGCAGTTACGACTTGCATTCCACGAGGGCACCGGTTCTCCTCGTTATCACATTAACAAAGTTAAACGAATGTAGTTAACTCGATCGCCGCGATAACTCCATCACGGCAAGAGACCGGCGTGCACGCGAACATCGTTCGCGGGCAGCCGGCGATGATTAAAAAACGACCCGATAAATTTTCATACGTATTGACGTTGCGAACGCTATCCATTGGAAATTACGATAACGCCAAATAACACGGCGATGAAATACAAATTTTCCGATCTCGCACGGAAACTCGTGCCAAATTCAAGCAGTCCAAATGAAATTTGTGGCAAAATCAGCCAGTTAATTAAACGGCGTGGAAACACGAAAAGTACGTATTAAATTAATACGACAATCAATCGGATCGTGATTGAATGCATCGTGCTACGGTGTACACAACGCGCAAACAGAATTCAATCTCCACGAGATCGCGAAGTGATTCGCTCCAAGAAGATCGGTTCTCTCAATGAAAGTACAAACGTGGTTAACAGAATCTCAGTCGCTGTGCACGACCGCCCTTGGGCTATCGCTGGCCTACTATCGGCATAGTTACGTACATAACGTAGACTCGACCATGCGTGTTTGAATTCACACAAATACGCGGGTCAGCGCGTTGTATGTACTACTTGCGGTCGCGGCGACCACATATGCGGGACATAATTCCTACGATTATTCGTCCCTTCGCGTATCAAATAGCGTTATTGATAGGTTCACCACTTCAAAAGCATCACAACATGCACATCCCGCCATTAGCTCGTTAGATGCAACTTTCATGCAACGATTATCTCCGGCATGATGACGGTAATGCGACATGATAACAATAGCGTTCGCGTATTTCGTACGGGCACAGTATCCTTCAAAGGCGAGATTAATTAATACCGCACTTGGAGAATATGAGCGACTTACGCGACAGCTTCTGCAATTGCAACAACACGAAGTTGGCGTGATAAACTTCTACTACCACTCTCTACATTCCTTAGAATAAAATTTTATTTAAAAAATGGAATGACAGCAGCGTCATTCCAATTGAAGTAGAGTGACTTTTCATACACTGAAAAAAATATTATCTAACAAATATTTATTAGATGAGTACTAATAACACACATATTTACTTATATATAATTAATATAAAATATTTTTTAAGTACGAAAATATATATTTTCTTCAAACCTTGTCTTTTCAAAGGAATTATGTTTATTCTAAAGTTTAGTTTATTTTTAAATAAAAGGAATATAGATTTAAGTAAATATATTGCTATATATATAGTACTCCCACTGAATAAACATTTTTTTATTTCTTAGGCATCTTTTCCTTCAGTGCATACATTGAAAGTATATTACAGTTTTTTTCATATAAATTCTTTTCAATCTTACTGTCTTTAGTAGATCAAGAATAGACACTGTAAAAAGGTCTATCTTGTTAAGTAACATAGCAAATTTTTTAATAGTATATTTTACATAGTTGCTAAAATATAAAATAGCATATATGAGAAATGAAAAAATAATAAATTACTGCAGTATGTCGATTTACTTCTCGATTACAAAAGTCTATAATAATTTTTACTATTAAACTCTCTCTTCGCGTAGAGCGAATTCTTCCACTCCGAATCGAATGAATATTTTGATTCAAGATTGAATCTGATGTAATGTCCACCGTCTCTCGGTGACAAATTCACTCTAATCGATCAAAGTATCCACTCTTGTGGATTAAGGATCCGCACCTAAGTTCAAATGGAACATCCACGCTTGTGATTTCGAATGACAACATCTCCGCTATCGCTTCGAACGAATGTGCACTCACCTCGAGTGAGATTTCGCTCTGAGAGATTTAGAGAGTAAAGAAGCAATTACTCCCGTCACACTTAGGGCCGCCGTCGAGATAGATCGCTCGAGCTGACACTATAATCCACGCGTCTCAACCACGCGTCGAAGGGAAATTTACCCTCGCATCTTCGATCCGAGTATACATCTTCGCGAATATACATCCCAACATTTATTTCCCGCCATTGCATAAGAAATCGGGCCATATTTCTCCGCGATACCTCACCTGCGCCGCTCGTGCAGACAGACAAGCGGGTCGGCAGGCACGCAAAGTGAGCGCTGCGCTGCATGAAAATGTAGAGGAACATCGAGATAATACGTCATCAAGTTTACAATCATTAAGGGGACGTCTGAGCCATAATTATTAGCAGCTTTTTTAGTTTGCTTTTATAATTTCTTTTCTTTGGCTTCACAGAATTGCAAATACTTGTACAGTGCGAATGTATATATGTTAACGCATGGCGTTGTAGTCTATATTGTATGAAATGTAACCCAAATTTTTACAACTACCACTTTATGTGGCATCTATAGCTGATCCTGCATTTTCGCTTTATGTAAGAGAGTTTATATACGTAAAGTTGAGCGTTATGCAGGCGACCCGTGAGAACATTATAAGACTACTAGAATACAATTTGAAAGACTAAATTTGAAAAATGCTGACGATGGAGGGATAGCTGAACCTCAACATCTCAAGAGGCCCCTTAATCTTGGAAAAACAGGCTCCAAGCCTACTTAACGAGGAAGAAGAAGAAGAAGAAATTTGAAAAAATTTGCAAACTACGATTTAGCTGCACATATACTGGCACAAATAAAGTAAAGAAGAGCAATATACTTGTTCTTGAGTAATTAAAGCCGTTAGTGCTATTTATTTGATTGTATATGAATGAACTGTCATATATTAACATATCAGCACGTAAAGTCAAATAAAATATCACCTCTAATAACACCTCTAATTCAGTATTAGCGAATTGCCTAAACGTACGGCATACGGCTCTTTTTTACCTATACCTTTTCGACTTCTTTCATAACACTCCGAAGTCCCCTCAAGAATTTGTCGACAGAGGTGATCGCAAGGAAACTACGGAGAGATAAACTATACATCGCGACCGCGAGAGAGAGACGACGTTCAATCGCATCGCTCGGTCGCTTAAGAACTGCATCGCTTGCACGTCGCGCGGCTGGCGGCATCGATCCTCTCGTTACGCGGCCGTCGTGCACGTGCAGTCACGAGCTCGCTCGCTCGATCGAAGCTCGAGCTGCTTTATCCAATTGCTGCGCGCCGCAAGAACGAGACCCGGCTTTAGATATCATCCTAAAAGGTTCAGCAGACCAGACGGCGCCACGTAGATAAACGTAACTGTTGTGTTTAACCCTCTCCTGCGCATCCGTGGGAGCGGCGCGTTCAAATCGACTCGACTTGGAGCTAATGTAGCACGCGTAACTCGCGGACACTGGTCCCCGCTGCGGTCTAAATAGGCTGCACCACTAAACTGTACTACTGTATGCTAAATATACGATAAGGAAATATTTTTGCGAGATATTCGGTAACTGCACACACGGCGTAACCGCGGAAAATCCTTAAATTTCAACGAAAGGCGTTTAAATCTCGCAATTCTGCAACATTTATCTCGCGATAGCGCGAAAAAAGGAGAAGAAACGCGGCCCTTTGGAACATAATCCATGGTGACGTCTTTTTATCAATTTTTCTATTTCGATGTCATTGATCGGAAATAATCCGTCGCGAAGTGTGTATGTGTGTCTGTTGGCGTGTGTAGGTATGTACACATTTTGTCTCCTCCCTCTAGATCGTAAAGCTTATCCACTTACGACGAAGCGCTGTTACAATCGCCGCTAAACTCGATCCGTTTCGTTCATTACGTTTGTCAATATCTCGTGAAATTGCATTGTTCGGAGGGAGGGAAGGGAGGGAGTATGCGCCTTTTATACACGGCACCCCTTTATACGTCGCGCGGACCATAAATAGCAAAGTAGCTTCGGCACGTCCGAAGAAATCGAAAACAGCTATCGGGAGCGTGGTTCTTCTCTCGTTGCCTGGCAGTACGTCGCAAATTGTTGCCCTCGCCGGATCGCCGGTGCTGTGTGTGGCGAACAACGAGGTCGTCGTAAAATGAAAAATAACAAAACATCGCCGGGGAAATAAAACGGTAAACATCGCCGAAAACAAAGGAGAAACCGTCTTGTGAGCGCGAGAAAGGCAACGAGGTAGAACGTACAACACACAGAAGAGTACGCTGTGACTTGTTAGCCTTTGCGATTAAAGCGCGCAAACAATCGACGACGTGTTTCCACGCGTCGCCGGAATAAAGCCGGAAACGAGCCTTAATTTCGATTCCATCTTTAAATCACCCGCTAGAGACAGCCGGTTGTTCCAGAACGAACAAATGATGAAGAGGGAAAGAAACAGAAAAACAGAGAGAGAGAGAGAGAGAGAAATA